TGACATCGGTGTTGGTATGAAATGACACTGGCCACAACCGATATATGGTCTTATTCTTGTTGGCATGTTCCCTGTGAATCTTCCTATAACCCAAATGAAACTTTTGGAAAATTTGCAGGTATGTCCAGATGGAAAGACCATTGAAGCAGAAGCAGCTCATGGTACAGTTACACGCCACTTCAGAGTTCATCAAAAAGGTGGTGAAACAAGCACCAACAGCATAGCCTCCATTTTTGCTTGGTCCAGAGGCCTTGCCCACAGGTAGGAAATTTCACCCTTGAGAATGGTTGCTAATCCAGTCGCTTGACTGCAAATAGATATTTAGTTTGTCATGGATTGTCTGTAGCAAGGTTTTTGTATCTTAAAAGATGTTTTGCATGTGTGATCTTACCAGGGCAAAGCTGGATAGCAATGCTGCACTGTTGAACTTTACGGAGAAATTGGAAGCAGCGTGTATGGGCACGGTGGAGTCTGGAAAAATGACCAAGGATCTCGCTCTTTTGATCCACGGACCCAAGTAAGAGTTAAACCACCAAAAAGATGACTTAAATGTTCAAACACTGGATTGATAAGTAAATTAGTGTGCATTGTAAATTTGGGCAGGGTTAGGAGGGATGCTTATGTGAATACGGAAGAGTTCATTGATGCGGTGGCATGGGAGCTAAGAAGGAGATTGTTAGGCAGCTCCAGGTTGTGAGGAGAAGATGTATGTGTATCCGAAAAGCAATAATAGTCCTTTCCAGTTTCCATCTAGTAACACACAGTATACGTGTTGAAAATAATGGCAAATGTGTTTGGTCCCCGAACCCAATGACTTCATGTATCTTAAATCCTTGGTTGAATTTCTCTGCATCTCTTGTGTTGTAATGGCTGCTTTCACTTGGTAATTTCTCTATATGGGTTTGTATCGTTCGTTACTCAAGGCCACAAGGCCTCAAGGGTGTGGTGAAGAAATGAACGGCTGAGCTTAATGCACTTGCCTCTTGCCTCTGTCTGGGTTGGTACTAAATATTGTTTGTTTTTGTGGCTACCAATAAAAGAATCCATCTGAAGCTGTTGGAGAATTGAGGTTGCAGCCTATTTGTTTATGCGCTGAGAGACAGACTAGTATGATGTTCTTGTGGGTCTAAGAAGAAGAAGAAGAAGAAGAAGAAGAAGATGATACTGATAACAGCTCCCCGTTTCACCACTTGCCCTCACCTTCTCCTCCGCCATTCCGATCATTCTTCTTCTTCTCCTCTTCGCTACAAATCGATTAATCGGAGCAAAATTTCTCGTTCCAGAAGCGTCTCCGCTGCCTCCTCCTCCTCCTCTTCTTTGTTGCCGCAACCGCCGCTTCGTCCGGATAAGGCGTCGGAACTGAGAGCTCTGTGGAAGCGATTCTGGAAAGTCGCTGCTCCTTATTGGTTTTCCGAGGATAAAGACCAGGCCAGGCTACGTCTCGCCGCCGTCTTCGTCCTTACTCTCGCCACCACCGGCATCAGCGTCGGCTTCAATTTCCTCGGCCGTGATTTCTACAATGCTCTCGCCAGTAGGATTCTTCAACTCTCCTCTCCACTTTTCTTCCTCCCTAGTTCTGATAAGCAACTTGTCTGTTTGTTCAATTATTCTCTTTGATAAGACAAAGACCAAGAGCAGTTCACGAAGCAGTTGCTCTACTACCTCTGTGGGTTCGCCGGCGGAATCCCGGTGAGCTTCCTCGATGAAATTAAAGAAGTACACTTAGAGATATATTTGCAACACTCATCTGGGTTTTTTGCAGTTCTTTGTGCTGAGAGATTATGCAAAAGAGACTTTATCACTGAGATGGAGATCATGGATGACCAAATATTACCTGCAGCGCTATTTGAAAGATCAATCCTTCTACAAGATCCAGTCCCAATCTATGATCGACAATCCAGATCAGCGCATTGTTGATGATCTAAGTTCTTTCACCGGAACAGCCTTGTCTTTCTCTTTGACGCTTTTCAGCGCCACCATTGACCTCATCTCTTTTAGCAACATCCTCTTCACCATTTATCCTCCTCTCTTCCTCGTTCTCTTGCTCTACTCCTTTGGCGGAACTGCTATCAGTGTCTTTGTGGGCAAGGTATACTTCCTTCTTCTTTATTCCTGAGCGTGATAATGGATTGACACAGATTCAGCTAAACCCTTTTTTTTTTTTTTTTTTTTTGTGTGTCATTTAGCAATGCATTTATTAAGCAATGCATTTCTCAATTCTGTTCCTGTATTCGGATTTCTCAAGCTTACATTCCTCTTAGAGTTCTTTGGTTAATTTTCATTTACGTAGACATGTTTAAGCACAAGATTCTGTAGCTGTTGCAATCATTTTGAGCTTACAAGATTTCAGATTATAACACTTTTCCCTTTTCTTTTTCTGTCCCATGCTATCCTTGATCATATTCTCGAGTCGTTTAGTTTGCTTGCTGCAGAATAACTATTTCTTATGAGTTCCATTAGCATTTCCCTTTTGAGTTCAGGGACTAGTGAATCTCAACTTTCTGCAAGAGAAGAAAGAGGCTGACTTTCGTTACAGCCTTGTACGCGTGAGGGAAAATGCTGAATCCATTGCTTTCTATGGAGGCGAAGAGAATGAAATGCAGCTTCTGCTTCAGCGTTTCAGAAGCGCTTTTGATAATTTAACTGTAAAGTTACTCCTCGCTCAGTGATTCTTGAAACTTTCCTTGTAATCACTAGCTTGCTCAGTGAGTTTGTTCATTCTTTCGCCTGCAGGAATTGCTGATAGCATCTAGAAACCTAGAGTTCTTTACTGATGGATATCGCTACCTCATTCAGATTCTTCCAGCTGCTGTTGTTGCCCCAATGTTTTTCTCTGGGAAAATTGAGTTTGGTGTCATTAACCAGTCAGTGTCAGCATTCAATCATATCCTAGGAGACTTCTCGCTCGTTGTTTATCAGTTTCAAGCTATCAGCGCTTTTTCAGCTGTCATTGATCGACTAGGTAGTAGACTTATTATGCATTATGCACTCTCTCATATTGTTGCATTCTACTTTTTACATAATGATCACACTTACGTTCTAGACGAGACACATCTCTGTAAGTCTGTAGTTGCTAAATCGCTAGTTTAGTAGTAGGATTTTTCTAAGTAGAGGTTTAAACGTTTCGGTGCAGTAGACTGTTGATATTAGGATTTTGTTTGTAATATCTCCTGATAAAAAACGGGGTCTTTTACAGTTGAGACTCTCATGGGCAGTTAGATGATAGCTCTAGTTTTCTCATGGTTAGCCAGATGAAAAGAACGAGACAGATGTTCTATGCATTGCTCTAAAGTGGCTCTTAATCACATAAATCTGTAACTCTGCAATCAACTTTTACGTCTAAAGGAAAAGTTGCATTTTCTGTAGGTTGGGATTGTCCTTTTATGCATCTAACCATTTCAAGAGTTCTAACAACTCAGGTGAATTTGATGATCTTTTGGACAACAACATCTCCAGAGATCCCTCTCACACCGTGGAAGAGATTGATCTGACGTATCAGAGCGTGGGGAGGTCTTCGTTGCTGGATTCCAATGGTACAATCCAGTCTCGAAAGAAGCAAAAGCTTCTGGAGATTGAGGCGCTCACTCTTCAAACACCAACAAATGGAACCACATTGGTTCACAACTTATTTGCAGATATATATGACAAGGATCATCTACTGGTTAGTTCACTTTGACTATTTTTGTTTCAAGCATGTGGACTGGCAGATACTGAGTTAGGTATAATTATAAACGCCATTTAACAGATAATGGGTCCTAGTGGGAGTGGTAAAACTTCGCTCCTAAGAGCAATGGCTGGTCTTTGGAGGTCAGGGAAAGGAAAAATCACGTTCTACCTCAATTCTCAGGACGATTTTACACAGGATGATAGTTCAGGGAAAAGAAGTTCGGGAGACATATTGTTCCTTCCACAAAGGCCTTATATGGTTCTGGGAACTCTGCGTCAGCAATTGCTTTATCCTGCCTGGAGTACAAGTATGGAGGCGACACCTGGTAGCAGTAAAATAGACGGTAAAAACCACTTGTAGCATCAAAGATTCAGTTTACGCAAAACGACTGGCTAAGAAAATGGATCGGTTATGTCAGGTTCAGCGCTGGATGAGCCGACAACAGATGATCTGATGAGGACGCTAGAGAATGTTCGTCTTGGACATATAGTGGATCGCTTTGGTGGTCTTGATTCGTTACACGAGTGGTCCAGTGTTCTCTCACTTGGTGAGCAGCAGCGCGTGGCCTTTGCACGGTTGTTGCTGTCTCAGCCAAAGCTGGCTCTCCTGGATGAATCCACTAGTGCTTTGGATGAAGCTAATGAGGTATTTTCGTGCTTCCTCCTCTCATTCAGAATATCATGTAACAGTTACATTGAGGCATTTGTGTTTGTAGGCACACCTGTACCAGCAAATCCAGTCAGCTGGCATTACATATATAAGCATTGGCCACCGGCAGACTTTAACCAAATTCCATAACAAGATCTTACACATCTCGACGGCAGACTCGAAGAGCATGGAACGCAACTGGAGAGTGGAGGACGCGAACGCCATTGAACCAATAACAGGTGCCAAGTGAAACCTGATTGATTACATTACATAGAGGCAGGAAGAAATGTAAATGCATTGTGTAGAACAGAGATGATCGGGGAGGGCTGATACCTGATAGTGAAACAAGAAACACCTTTTGTTGTCACTTGTACATAGTATTAAGTTGCAAGTAAAAAGAGATTGATATGCAGATGACTTGTGAGATAACGCACACAAGAAAAGCAAGAGTCCGAATCATCAAAACCCAATAGCATAAGGACAACAATACATCTAACGGACAATTCCAGGCCCTTTCTTCCAATTCCAGTTGTTTTGTCGTGTCTCTCTCGGCCCATCTAAGAAAGCCCAAAATAATGAATGAGAGAGTCGGCCCATTTGGTATAGCCCAATTTAGTCGTCGTCTAAACTCTAAAGCCAGGCGAGTGCGAGTCGTTCGAGGAGAGGAAAGAAAAGAGAAAAAGAGATGATGGTGACGAAAGAATCCATTGAAGTGATTGCTCAGAGCATTGGAATCTCCACTCTGTCACCGGATGTCTCTGCCGCTCTTGCTCCCGATGTCGAGTACCGCGTCCGAGAGGTCATGCAGGTCCGTCTCATCAGCTTCACTTTCTCTAACCTTCATTTCCCTCCTTCCCTTGATTTCTCTCATCTGCATCTGCAGGAAGCTATCAAGTGCATGCGCCATGCTCGCCGGACCACTTTGATGGCCCATGATGTCGATTCTGCCCTTCATTTCAGGAATTTGGAGGTTTAATTTGTTTATTCATGTCTTGTCCCGATTTCGTGACACTTGACCCTGATTTTGACTCTTTATCTTCTTCTTCTTCTTCTTCTCTTAGCCTACTTGCGGCTTTACCTCCTCGAAAACTGTGCGGTTGAAGAGAGCTCCTGAGCACAGAGATCTCTACTTCTTTGATGACAAAGATGTCGAGCTCAAGAATGTGAGTATGTGAGTAAAGGTGGTTCGGGCATTAAGATTGTTGTTTATTTAGCTTCCCTTTGCTCTCTTATGCAGGTTCTCGAAGCGCCTCTACTGAATGCACCTCCTGATGCTTCTATTACCTCGCATTGGTTGGCAATTGATGGCATTCAACCTTCCATTCCACAAAATTCTCCTGTCCAAGGTAACCTCTCTCGTCATTTGTCTTGCTGAAGAATCTGTTATCTGTAGCAGCTCCTCATCCTCAACTCCGTCTTCCCTGTAGCCATATCTGACGTAAAACGATCCGAGTATAAGGATGATGGGCTGCCTGCTAGGCATGTGCTGTCTAAGGAGCTTCAGGTGCTCTAGTACACAATTTGCTCTTCTTCTTTCTTTCTTCTCTTCTTGATGCTATAATAGTATAATCCTTTCTTTCGTTCGATGCAGATTTACTATGATAAAGTCACGGAGTGGGCTTTGACTTTATCTGGTTCCACCGTCTTCAGACAAGCACTCACCAGCTTAGAAACTGATCCGGGGCTCCACCCGTTGGTTCCTTTTTTCACTTGTTTCATAGCTGAAGAGGTTGTGTTTGTAATTCAACAATCCAAGTCTTTGGGTTTTATCCTAACTTCACTTCTTCTACCACATTTTAACTACTTTTATGCCTTCAATTGTCCTCAGATTGTGAGGAACATGGATAATTATCCAATCTTGTTGGCTTTGATGCGCCTTGCTAGAAGCCTCCTTCATAACCCTCATGTACATTTGGAACCATATGTAAGTTTCGTGGCTATATAGTATCCTGCAGTTCCACTTGTAACACCTGTTTTTATCCCCTTCACTCTCCCTTTCCCTCCTCTTGTTGACCTACTTAATACCTTTGTGTGTTCTGTCCAGCTGCATCAATTAATGCCGTCTATTATTACTTGCCTCATTGCCAAGCGCTTAGGGAAAAGGTTATCTGATAGTCACTGGGACTTGAGAAACTTCACAGCCGGTACGGTGGCTGCAACATGCAAAAGGTTAATGTAACATTCTTGCTGTGTGATTTCAAGAATTTTGTAGAACCTCGCAACTGCTGTGGCATCGAGAGCCTTTTCCTTCGTTTTGTCAATGCTGAGGATTTATTTGGCATATTCCATCCCTGGATAATGGGACGTGGTCACAGTTACCTTACTTTATAGATTAGGAAACACAATTTTGATAGACATGTCACATGTGATATGTAGCATGACCTGCATTCACATTAGTGAACCTTTTTTTACAGGTTTGGACACGTTTATCACAACTTGCTGCCACGTGTTACAAGATCACTGCTTCATACCTTTTTGGACCCAACCAAGGCACTACCACAACACTATGGGGCAATTCAAGGGATGGTAGCCCTTGGGCTTAATGTGGTATTGTTCTTGATGCTTGATTATCATACGGAAAGAGTGGCAATTTAGGATGTGAGTCATGCTAGGATTTCCCATAAGACGCGTAAATCAGTAGAAGTATGATTCGATACCTTCAATGAAGTTATGAAACCTGCAATTGAACCTTAATCTTTTGGTGGCGGCCAGATATGTTTAAAGAGTCTTCTCTTACCCTAGGATATATTCTTTGGTCATCTGTAAGTATTTTTCATGCTTTACCCATTTGTCTAGGTTCGCTTTGTTGTTCTCCCAAACCTAGAGCCATATTTGCTACTTCTTTTGCCTGAAATGGCACATGAGAAGCAAAAGGACGGAGCAAAGAGGCATGAGGCTTGGCTCGTGTATGGGGTGTTGATGGTGAGTATGCTTTCTAGCTTGATACACAAGTTAGGTCAATTGTTTGCTTTCAATCTCGTTTGACAAAACATGCAGCAGAGCATATAACACTTAACTGTCCATAGGTCGCAGCTGGTCGATGCCTGTATGAACGGCTTAAAACATCACAGACACTGCTGTCTCCTCCAACTCGCTCTGTCTGGAAGACAGATGGAAAGCTCACCAACCCTAGGCAGAGTATAAACTCTTTTCTAGTTTGGTTCTAAACTCAGGGATACAGGGACGCTAAGACTAACTTTTGTTTTACTTGGGCAAGGTAAACGTAAAGCAAGTAGTGACAACTTAACTCATCAACCTCCACTGAAGAAGATAGCAGCAGAGGGAATTATGCAAATGAGCTCCACACAGATGCAGATGGGGCTTTCCGCAGTCCCTCAACAGTCGCCGCTTGTTGGAAGGGACGTTTCTCCGAGGACTTCAGCTACTCTTGGCACTGACGTCGACAACTTTTTGTTTCCTCTTTTCGATTATTTTGGTGAGAGCATGCTTATGTTCACCCCTAAACATGAGCTCAGTTTCTTCTTGTAATAGTTGATTATTGACACGCACGTGTTTGTACAACAAATAATACATATTCATTGGAAATATTTTTAGTTTATAGTGAGACGTAAAACATAAAATCTACTACCCTTGTCATTTTACATAGGCATTTGCATGTAAACATTAATCATAACTTGGCCTGGATCACATTTTCCGTGCTACTCTGCTTCTCCATCTCCACTGTTAGTTGTGAAGAACGGCGTCAGAAAATTCTTGTCCAACGCGGTGAATGATGTAGTGCTGCAAAGTTCTGTTAAGTGAGACCCAAGAAATGCAACAACACTTTCTACTCGGGAAAACATACGAAGCCTTTCTCTAACTCTTACCTTTTGTGAAACTCTTTCAGCTTCATCTTGAATCTGCTTCCTGATGATGACGTTTCCTCGTCAGATGAAGCTCCAATGCTAAATGGAGGAGGGATGTACCGAGTATCGCTCTCTTCAAAGCCCTGACCACGTATCTGGGTGCGTTAGTATAAGGACATACATAAATCTAGTTCAACGGTATCATAGATTAGATCGTCGAGAGTTTACGTCAGACATGGAGTCATCAAGATCGTCACCTACAACTTCCAAAGCTTCCAACATTTTACCTGTCGAACCTCCTATTAGTAAAACCTGAAATATTACTGCCATGGATCAGAAACTAACACTATGTACTATTTCTCCAACTCTCGCAGATTCTTAAAGCCTTATATATACTACCGTTGGAAATGAACAACATAGATCCTTCATGGAGAGAATACAAAACTCACTGTGACAACAACAATGGTTGTGGTTGCAGTAAATATGATTTGGCCGTGGCCCTCGGGTAAGTCATGAAGCGATTGAAGTGCAAGCGCAAACGCCATTGCCCCTCGAAGTCCTACCAATGTGCCAAAATGTGTACAAGTTTTAATAGTGCGTAGATATAGAAATGGGAATCAGGAGACGAAAACAAAAGCAATTCACTCATCTCACCACTATACCAAAGGGCTTTTTGGTGCTTCATAGGTATCTTCTGGTGCTCCTGTCTAACTAGATTGACCAAATATGCACACCCAAATACATTGACAGCCCTGCGTGATAAAAAAAACATTGCAAATCATATAATGAAGTATCAGCTGGGATCTTAATGAAGCCATCAGCCAGGAAAAAATAAAGTTTTGGTTGGGGATTTTAGTCACCTAGCCACGCCAATAAACAGCTGATGTCAGTCATGCAAGTACGCAGAAGCAGAAAGGTAAAGTCAAGGATTAATAAAACTGGCAAACAATGCATACAATCACTGACGATCATCATCGAACGAGGATACAATAGAGAAAAGGATAAACCCAACATGGGACCAGCTATGCTGCTCCATGGCAATATCAAATCCCATGTAAATAAACCTAAAAAGGTATTAAGCAAATCAATATCAATCCAGCAGTTTTTAAGCGTAGAAATTATTATCTATCAGTGAGATGCTATTGATCTGGACTAACGTGAAAGTTTCTGCCAGCGAGGATATCAAGTGAAAAAAGGCAGATACGAAACTCTGAGAAGCTTCTGAGAGATTTGAGAAAGTGTAACGCTTCATAACCTAGAGTAGCACTGTATTAGGCTTCATGAATCTGTCTTGCCAGATATTAGTATCAACTTAGATGTAAAAACTACAATGATTGGGATATTACAATTCCTGTGAAGAGTATAGACACAATGCCGGACAGACCAACACCTTCTGCAAGCATGTATCTGACAGCACAGCCAAAATACATTAGGGGGAAGACATGTTTCATAAGTATGAAGAGGGAGGATGAGGAGAGTGGTTCCGTCTACTTACGAAAAATACGGGAACAGCACAAAGAGACAACACTCCAAGTTCTGGAGACTGAGGTAGAGAAAAAGAACAGCAGAGAAAACAAGATGCTTAGAGAGTATCAACTATACAAATGCAACAGTATAGACAGTTAAGAAAAGATGAGGCACTTACTTCTCCGTATCCAATCCTGCATACTTAAAGAGGTGTTCTGAGTTAAGGTTTAATACATTTAAGTAACATCTAATTTGCAAAAAGAGGAATCAAGAAGGATATCAAAGCTGAAGTGAATCCAACCCCAATCCCTGCAGAACAATATTAACGTCGTTAGCATGTTAAAGCAATATGAGGTCAGTGAGGGGACTAGGTTAGACGTTAATGTCTTAAGCCATTGGCAAAACTTTTATTTTTGCGTGGGAGAAAAGAGAATAAAGAAAATAACAGAGTACATTCTGCTTCAAGTAAAAGGAAATGTGAAAAGCAGATTATATATAGGAAAAAAAAAAAAAAACAGGTCTTACATATGTCGATGTACAGTATATGTGATTGTTAAGGATTTCAAAGGGAGAAACAAAAAATCCTGATCCAAGGGGTAAAAAATACTGCCATTTCAGATCTAGTTAGTGGTTATTTTAGTTGTATGAATCTTCGGAAAGATATATAGTCTTTAGTTGATATTTTCACTAAAAGTGTCTTTAGTTAGATACGAGGAATGTTTATGAGTCAATGAGCCTAGTATCGTTATAAAACTGTGAAGAAGGGTCAGAACGGAGTCAGAGCAGACAGACCTGCAGACATTGAGCCAGCAAAAGTCTCAAGAAACCTGATCACCACCATGAGAAAATGTTCCCCAGACGAGGATTGGCGGTTTACTAAGGACATTGTTCTGCATCGAAAGTGTTCCTATTGCATTTAATAGTTTGCTTAAAAAAGGAATTTAAGAGGAGGAAAACCATGTGGTTTACGTACCTGTACAAAGATATTGCCATCTACGAGCCACACCACATATACACGAAGGCGCATTTGATGAAGTTAGTGTTGTGGGTTTTATGTACCTAAAAGGAAGAGCCCAATATTCACAGCAGGTAAATATACACTCACAGCATCATTCAAAACTGATTCTCCAAAGACCAAAGCATACAGGTTGACGTCGGTGCCCAGTTCCTGTAATAAGATTTTACAAATAAATGTTCATCACACTGCAGAGCATCGTTTTGATAAAAGAATACTTGTATATTCCGGTGGCATCATCAACTAACATATTGCACTTTGGGATCAAACTGGTAATCATATGGAAAGCAGAAGCACCTGAAATATAGAAAGTACAGTGACAGGGTCCGTAGCTGATATAAGTGCACCAAACATAAGGCACTCAACAAATGGAAGTTTATACATGAGATACATAGAGCCGCCAAGATAACTGCAAAAGGCAGGAAACCCAGATAAGGGTACACGCTAATTTCAATCAAACAAAGAAGCTCTTAGAATAAGCAAGAGGCTTATGATCCCTACACTAGACCACCAGTCACAACTGAAGCGACAAAAGTTCCAATGATAGCAAAGGTAACAATGGCTCCAAAGTTAGAAAAGAATGGTTTCTGCACCCAGAGAGAAACATATTAGGAAAAGCCGTTAAGTCAGCCATTGTTTGTACAGAAAGAATAATAAGCACTTACAGGTTGAAGACTGAAACCTGACTGGGTTCAAACAATGATGTCAAGGAAAATGACATTGTGCATAGCAAACTTGAGGATCAAATGCAGATATGAGGCAAACTTAATGAAGAAAGGATATAATATGATGGGAGGCAACAGAAACAAGAAGAAGAACTCCTCGTGGAAATTAAACCACGTCCTGATACAGAAAATCGAACAACAACAAGTAAGCGAGGAAACGATAAAAGGAGAAAGAGTAGGAATCGTCAAGGGGCAAACCTAAATTACCTAATACTAGTCTCAGTGTCGGAGATATTAGCAAGTATACCGACGATTAAACCTGAAATTAAGTCGGAAGAAGAACTAAGAAGCTAGGGGGGAAGAGACAGAAATCAGAAGGAAGATAGGGAGAGAGAAAGGGATACCGATGAGAAGCGAACCGCTAGCTTCAGGAAGATAGTGGAACCGGTGACGGCGGAGGACATGGCCGAGAACAAACGAAAGGACGAGCATCATAATCTGAAGCAGTATACCAACGCCGGCGGCTTGCTGCTGCTTGACCTGGCCCTGGGGGTCGTGGCCCGTCGGCAGTTCCTCCATCGAGATTGAGATGGACGACGACCTTTAGACTTGGGGACAAGGCGATTGCGAGCTTGAGCTTCTAGTCAAAAGAGCGAAAGCAGTAAAACGCCGTCGTCTGATCGTTACAGCAGTTTTTTTTCCCTTGCCTCTCTCTGTTATACTCTACAACAAGAAACAAACGCATTTCTCTTTAGATGACAAAAAAAAAAACAAACTCGTCTGTTGTCATTTATTTTCCCATCATAGAAACAGAAAGCTCATTCTCTATCCAGAACATTAACCCTTGGAAAAAAGAAAATTTACAATAGCTAGATGGTCCGTCACTAAGGGAATCTTGGATGAGTGGTGTTCCAAAAATTGTGTTTCCTAGATTGATTTCCATTTGGTAGGAAAGGACTTGGGGATGAAGACAAACGTAGCAGGTAGGTAACATAGGAAAAAAAGCCCATTATCCACGGTTTTACAGCCCATTGATTACAGCCGTGGAATGAAGTAGACACAATCAACGAAGCCTAATAAATAATGCAAAGCTTAGCATGAGAGTCAAGCAAGTCCAAGCTTAGAAGCACACACCATATCGCACGCCACCACCAGTGCAACCTTTACACAACTACAAATAGGCTTCAAACTGAGACAAATATGAAATACGAATAGTGCAAGACCTCTAACTAACTTGACCGCTGCTGCAACAACATAAACTATATAATATATACGTACGTAATGGCTGCCTCTGTTCACTATTTCTCCTTTTACCCACCACCCTCCGACCAACATCCCCTCCCTTCTCCGTTTCCGGCTCCATCGCATCACTCGCCGCCTCCTTCCTACATTTTTCCTTCACCCCCATCTCCACCGAATCACCCACTTCAACCGCCGCCTCTTCCCCATTTCCCACCGCCACCATATCCTCGTCCCCATCTTCCACCGCCTCCACCTCACGTTCTTCCACCACCACCGGGGCACCATTCAACTGTTATCATTGTGATTGTTATCTCTCTTGGCAGTTTGTTTTTTCTTGCGTTCCTCGCTGCTGCTCTCTTCTGCTGTCTCAAGAAAAGAAGAACGTCTTCTCTAAAGACTGAAATCACCAAGTTTGATGAACACATCAAAGTTCAAGAAGTCATCGTGCCTGGACCCCACGGCGAACCAACAAGAGTGGTAATGCTTGAAGAGGACATCCATTTGGAAGAGAATATTCACAAGACTGGTCGAGCTTCTCACCTGAATTCAACTGGAGGACATGCCACTGATATATCAGACCCCAATCATCACCTTATTGAGCACAAGGCCTAATCAGGAGACGGGAAAAGAGGCCGCAATGTAATCAATCATCTATTCTCACAATCTAAATAATAATGACGAATATACTTGGTATCAAAATCTTGCAATCCAAAACTTGATAAACTGTGCTTTTCGCCTGGTTATTGGTAGCACAAAGATATGTCCTTCCAATTAAACAAACTCCATGTCACTATATCGCACATACAGAATAAATAGTCTACACTGTCATAAGTACGAAGACAATGGTATTTTACATCTGAGGCTACGTGCGATTACTAATTGATTAGTCTAAACGCATATTCATTAAATTCAAAATTGTGGAAGTGAAAGTGAAGTCTTTTCAGTTTTGAGAGCCCCAAATCACAAGCATTAAGAGTCGACTCTTACGGGCTAATATAACAGTGAGTAGCTACCGGAGCACCAACAGACAGAAAGTTACAAAACAGAGTTGTTATTGTAGGAAAACTGACAAGAGAGCATCGACATAACCAAACAATCAAGGCAATGTGTCGTAGGACAACACTTATCATCAGTGTAAACACTAAACAGAAAGCAAAAGTTCCTATATGACGACATGATTTGTTGTACCCTCTAAAAGATAGGATGATGAAGCAAAAAGCCCAATTTATCTCAGGAGGAGTTTCCGAAGCATCGCATCCTAAGTGGGGAAAAAGGAGGGGGGGGGGGGTTCTTGTCTCAGTCATATTTCGTACAAATACTTGGCAAAGAGTTTCATGTGTTCAGATTGGAGAGCAATGGCCACGGATAAGCTGCCATCATTTGTAGGACTTGGTAACACAAACGACAAACCCTCGTATGGAATTCCACCAGGTCCCATAAATATGGGACGACCCCAACCGAAGTCTGCATCGTAGATGGGTAATCTGACCCAGCTGGTGATTCCCAAATTAGGACATTTGTAGGTGTGCGCACCGCGGACGAGGGCTGACAGATCAGGCTGCATCTCCAGGTAGTCAAGAGCTGACCTGAGATAGGTATCGTCCATGCGAGCCAAAACATCATGAAGCAGTCCTGCAGCATACCATGTTGGCTTTGACAGCAGATCCCCAGCAACGGCCAGTGGTGTGGCAGTGAATATAACGTTGCCAAAGTAACCAGGGGGAAGCTGCGGGCGCAGTCTTGACCTTCCATCAGTTGCAATGTATACTTTGGTCTCTTGGTCGTCTGGAAGCCCGCGCGCCTTCCCCACTGATCTCCACACATGACCTGCCAGCATTTCGTATGAGCTGTAGCTTACTGTGTTCCCATCCTCCTTGGATTTAGCCTTGAGGGAAACCAGCTGGTCGCGAGATAGCTTGAAGATGGAGACGGTGGTACTGTCGGGGCCTGATTTCGAGGGATCGAGAGGGATCCTCATACTGGGGGCAGGCTGGTATTCAACATGATCGAAAGCTGGCTGAGGCGGGTCCCTAGCGCGGAGGAGGGTCCGGTCGATGAAGGGTGGAATGGTAAGGTCAAGACCACGGGCCATATCAGACCATGTATTGATGAAATGGAGACCAGAGAAACCATCTGCCGCATGGTGTTGCATGCCAACACCAAGGGAGGCTCCACCACATTTAAAATAGGTCACCTACATTACATACATTAAGCCCGGAGTATCAGTAATTCTGTTTCTACAACTATAATTGAGACTCAAAGCCACACCCATACTACAGTTTCACGGTTCCAATAAATAATACCTGCAAAACGAGAAGAGGGAAGGAATGAATGCCGGCGGAGTGATCAACATCAGGAATCAGCTGGCGGAGAGTGAGGGTGGGAGCGAAGTCCCCAAAATCGTCGATGACAGAGGGAGTATCGGCGACGACGAAGAGAACGCCGGCGGCGTTGCAGTCGATCTCGATACGACCATCGTCGTCCCTCTTCAAGCGGCCGGCCATGGGGTAGAAGGGGACCAGGGCCTTGGAAAGGGCGTCCTTCATGACCTGAGGGTCGAAGAAATTGGAGGCGCCGGTGGGCCTGTAGAAGTAGACACTGGGGGTGTGGAATCTGGGGATTACGAGGTCGACGTTGGAGTTCCATAGGTAAGTGGAGGGGGTCTCGCCGGCGGGCCGGACCAGGGTCGAATCCCGGATGTTAATTTTCATAGATTGGATTGGATTATATGTGAATGTGAAGAATTGGATATTGCTTTGGAGAAGCTAAGGAAGGAGGATTGATGTATATAGATATATATAAAGTGGGTGTGTGTGAACAAAAGCCAAACGTCGCAGTCCTTCACCTACCGCGCCCGCCTACTCTCTCTTCCCTTTTCCATCTGTCGATCGGCTCCCACCAACTCTCTCTGTGCGCGAGGTCCCATTTTTCCATTATCCACTTGGTCCACCTCATTCGCGGGTCCCACTTTTTGTGTGTTGGGGTTGGTAAACCCGTTCGGTTTACTCTCCCACACCTTCTGGGCCATTTTTGTTTCAGTACAGCCCATCCTATAAATGGACCCTTAAAACTATAAGGTACCAAAACTTAATTTTCATGGGCCTGTATCGTTGGACTAAGGACCACCTAAAGCAAACAAAACAAAACAGGATCCAACAAGCTTTTTTTTTTTTTTTGTGCAAACAGGATCCAACAAGCTTACAACAAACTTAAATTAGTATTTACCCTAGACATATTTTATTCCTTATTTTGAAAAGTACACACTCCATCAATTCAACAATTTTTCATAATAAAATAGTATCTAAGAAATACTAATAACATATTATTTCTATTTTTCAAAATTTGTCAAAACTCGTAGGTATTAACCTATATATATTGAAAAAATTGATAAATTTTGAGGTTTTTCTAAATTAATGATTTGAAGGTGTCTTTTTTTTAACACTAGAGAAAGTGATTGTTACATAAGGTTTGAGTAGCCACAAGAGCCTCTCAAGACCAAGGCAAATTCGAAGATGTCTAAGGTGAAAATAAAGTAATCCAACCATTTTTCATAGTTAAAGAGTATCTAAGAAAGACTAATAACAAACTATTACAATTTTTTGAAAATTTGTCAAATCTCGTAGGTGTTAGCCCACAAATATTGGAAAAAAATGATGAATTTTGAGGTTCTTCTAAATTAACGATTGGAAGGTGTGTGAGGTGAAATTAAATTGATCCAACTATTTTTCATAGTAAAAGAGTATATAAAAAAGACTAATACCATATTATTCAAAATTATTCAAAATTTGTCAAAACTCGTAGGTGTTAGCCCACAAATATTGGCAAAATTGATGAATTTTGAAGTTTTTGTAAATTAATGATTCGAAGGTGTCTAAGGTGAAAATAAATTGATTCAACCATTTTTCATAGTTAAGAAGTATCTAAGAAAAACTAATAACAAACTATTCCAATTTTTTGAAAATTTGTCAAAACTCGTTGGTGTTAGCTCACAAATATTGAAAAAAAATTGATGAATTTTGAGGTTCTTCTAAATTAATGATTGGAAGGTGTCTAAGGTGAAATTAAATTGATCCAACAAATTTTCATTGTAAAACAGTATCTAAGAAAGACAAAATAAATTGATCCAACGATTTTTACATAGTAAAAAGTATCTAAGAAACACTAGTCACAAACTATTCCGATTTTTTGAAAATTTGTCAAAACTCGTAAGTGTTAGCCCGAAAATTTTGGCAAAATTGATAAATTTTGAGGTTTTTTCTAAATTAATAATTGGAAGGTGTCTAAGGTAAAAATCGATTAATCCAACAATTTTTCATAGTAAAATAGTATTTTTTTTTTGTCCGAAAGGTAAAATAGTATCTAAGAAAGACTAATAACATACTATTCCAATATTTTCAAAATTTGTAAAAACTCGTAGGTGTTAACCCACAATTTGAGGTTTTTCTAAATAAATGATTCGTAGGTGTCTAAGGTGAAAATAAATTGATTCAACCATTTTTCATAGTAAAAGAGTATCTAAGAAAGACTAATAACAAACTATTTCAATTTTTTGAAAATTTGTAAAAACTCGTAGGTTTAAGCCAACAAATATTGGCAATATTGATGAATCTTGAAGTTTTTCTAAATTAATGTTTCGAAGGTGTCTAATGTGAAAATAAATTGATCCAACAATTTTCAATAGTAAAAGAGTATCTAAGAAAGACTAATAACATATTATTCCAAAATTTTCAAACTTTGTCAAAACTCGTAGGTGTTAGCCAACAAATATTGGCAAAATTGATAAATTTTGAGGTTTTTCTAAATTAATGATTCGAAGGTGTCTAAGGTGAAAATAAATTGCTCCAACCATTTCTCATAGTAAAAGAGTGTCTAAGAAAAACTAATAACAAACTATTCCAATTTTTTGAAAATTTGTTAGAACTCGTAGGTGTTAGCCCACAAATATTGGCAAAATTAATGAGGTTCTTCTAAATTAATGATTTGAAGGTGTCTAAGGTGAAATTAAATTGATCCAACAATTTTTCATTGTAAAAAAGTATCTAAGAAAGACTATAACATATTATTTCATTTTTTTCAAAATTTGTCAAAACTCATAGGTGTTAGCCCACAAATATTGACAAAATTAATGAATTTGGAGGTTTCTCTATATTAATTATTAAAATGTGTTTAAAGTGAAAATAAATAGATCCAACCTTTTTTCCTTGAAAAATAGTATCTAAGAAAGACTAATAACACATTCTTCCAAATTTTTCAAAATTTGAAAAAACTCGTAGGTATTAGCAAAATTGATGAATTTTGAAGTTTTTTAAAAATTAATGACTGGAATGTGTCTAAAGATAAAATAAATTGATCCAACTATTTTTCATAGTAAAAGATTATCTAAGAAAGACTAATAACATATTATTCCAAATTATTCAAAATTTGTCAAAACTCGTAGGTGGTAGCCCACAAATATTGGCAAATTTGATGAATCTTGAGGTTTTTCTAAATTAATGATTCGAAGGTGTCTAAGGTGAAAATAAATTGATCCAACCATTTTCATAGTAAAAGAATATCTAAGAAAGACTAATAATAAACTATTACAAATTTTTGAAAATTTGTCAAAACTCGTAGGTGTTAGCCCACAAATATTGGAAAAAATTGATGAATTTTGAGCCCACAAATATTGGCAAAACTGATAGATCTTGAGGGTTTTCTAAATAAATGATTAGAAGGTGTTTAAAGTGAAAATAAATTGATCCAACCATTTTTCATAGTAAAATAGTATCTAAGAAAAAATAATAACATATTATTCTATTTTTTTACAAAATTTGTCAAAACTCGTAGGTGTTATAGCCCACAAATATTAGCAAAATTGATAAATTTTGAGGTTTTTCTAAATTTATGATTGGAAGGTGTCCAAAGTAAAAATAAATTGATCCAACTATTTTTCATAGTAAAAAGGTATCTAAGAAAGACTAATAACATATTATTTCAATTTTTTCAAAATTTGTAAAAACCCGTAGGTTAGCCCACACATATTGACAAAATTGATAAATTTTGAGGTTTTTCTAAATCAATGATTGGAAGGTGTTTAAAGTAAAAACAAATTGATGTAACTATTTTTCACAGTAAAAACAAATTGATGTAACTATTTTTCACAGTAAAAGGGTATCTAAAAAAGAATAATAACATATTCTTCCATTTTCTTCAAAATCTGTCAAAACTCGTAGGTGTTAGCCAACAAATATTGGCAAAATTGATAGATTTTGAGGTTTTTAAAAATTAATGATTTGAAGGTGTCTAAAGTGAAAAAAAAAATATTCAACTATTTTTCATAATAAAAGAGTATATAAGAAAGACTAATACTATATTATTCCATTTTTTTCAAAATTTGTAATAACCCGTAGATGTTAGCACACAAATATTGGCAAAATTGAGTTTTTTTTGAGGTTTTTATAAATTAATGATTGCAAGGTGTCTAAAGTGAAAATAAATTATTTCAATCATTTTTCATAATAGAAAGGTATATAACAAAGAATAATAACATATTATATCAATTTTTTCAAAATTTGTCAAAACTCATAGGTGTTAGGTCACAAGTATTGGTAAAATTAATAATTTTTTTAAAAATTTTAAATGATTGATGTTTTTTAAGTGAAAATAAATTGATCCAACAAATTTAAAAATTATACTAATCTTTTAGAGTCAATTAGATAGACCTATAAAGTTCTTAATATTTACATAAACACATCCTAGTAAAAATGCACAAGTTATTCAAAATTGATGGGTTTTAAAATTTTTATATTATCAAATTAATTATAAATACATACAAAACTAAAACTAGTACTATGGAAAAATAATATGGTAAGATTGGATTATTATATGGGCGGATTAGTTTTAGGGCAATTAAGGGTTTCGGAAAATAAGGGTTTCGGAAAATCAGGGTTTAGGGCGAATAAGGTTTTAGGGCAGATAAGGGTTTAGGGTTTAGGGTTTAGGGTTTAGGGTTTAGGGTTTAGGGTTTAGGGTTTAGGGTTTAGGGTTTAGGGTTTAGGGTTTAGGGTTTAGGGTTTAGGGTTTAGGGTTTAGGGTTTAGGGTTTAGGGTTTAGGGTTTAGGGTTTAGGGTTTAGGGTTTAGGGTTTAGGGTTTAGGGTTTAGGGTTTAGGGTTTAGGGTTTAGGGTTTAGGGTTTAGGGTTTAGGGTTTAGGGTTTAGGGTTTAGGGTTTAGGGTTTAGGGTTTAGGGTTTAGGGTTTAGGGTTTAGGGTTTAGGGTTTAGGGTTTAGGGTTTAGGGTTTAGGGTTTAGGGTTTAGGGTTTAGGGTTTAGGGTTTAGGGTTTAGGGTTTAGGGTTTAGGGTTTAGGGTTTAGGGTTTAGGGTTTAGGGTTTAGGGTTTAGGGTTTAGGGTTTAGGGTTTAGGGTTTAGGGTTTAGGGTTTAGGGTTTAGGGTTTAGGGTTTAGGGTTTAGGGTTTAGGGTTTAGGGTTTAGGGTTTAGGGTTTAGGGTTTAGGGTTTAGGGTTTAGGGTTTAGGGTTTAGGGTTTAGGGTTTAGGGTTTAGGGTTTAGGGTTTAGGGTTTAGGGTTTAGGGTTTAGGGTTTAGGGTTTAGGGTTTAGGGTTTAGGGTTTAGGGTTTAGGGTTTAGGGTTTAGGGTTTAGGGTTTAGGGTTTAGGGTTTAGGGTTTAGGGTTTAGGGTTTAGGGTTTAGGGTTTAGGGTTTAGGGTTTAGGGT